CTCTATAAGCCTGTTTGTTGAGTCAACATAGTCAACTGCCCTTTTGAAACTAACGCTTGTCAGCAAACGCTCGCGTTTCTGAATTAATAGCTATAATGAATTGCCGCTCAAGTGGAGATTGAGCTGGTGACCTACTTCTCTAACCAGTCATCCCGCGACTCACGGAGATCGGCGTCACTCCTGAGGCGGGGCAAACGTAGGAGTCTTGACGAGCATGGAGCTGAAGGTTCCACTGAAGCTTCATCCAATCCTGTCCATGGCATGGATCGGAACGCTTCAACCAGCAGCCATTAAAAACAGGTTTTGCTTTTTAATGCGCATGTTTGACCTCTCAAGCGTGATGAGACAGCATTGAAAACTCGGACTGCCATTGAAGCATCTCCAGCCTGCCACGAACGCAGACCGCTTTACTCCCTGCGAAGCAAGTCCTGCACTGACTGTCGGGGTGATTTGTTGTGTCCGGAGTAATGGCACATGTGGAACCACACTAGCATTAGACTAGCATCTTCAAGGGTCACGGAATGTAAAATGAAGTCCTGGATCTTCAGAAGTTGCAGCCACTTTGTCCACCGCCTGCGGACACAGGAGATTGAACGACATCCAAAGCTTTTCCAAGAAACGCAAAGTTGCGAGGCCTGAGGGTCTGTGACATTGCCGCCCTGGCACCCATTGGTCTGTGGCATTACGTCTGGCGTTCCATCAAGATTTAAAAAACATGAAGCTGCACACAGTGCGCCTTCTCATCAAGTTGATGTTTTGGAGGAAGCGGCACTTCCTTAAGGAAGTCAAATCTCATGTCTAGCACCTAAATGTTCGTCAATATTCTTCAGAAGCTGTCCTTAAGACTCACCAGAACAAAATCCATAGCGCCCATCACAATGGTTATATATCATGTAGCTTTCAGCCTAGGCTCCACGGAGGAAAGATCCCAGTCGGAGTCTGTAGCTTCTGAATCTTCGCGCAAGACTGAAATAAGCACAGGCTGAGGTTGATTCTTATCTTCTGCTGCTCCCCACACCAAGCCAAAGTAGCTGTTGCTGCTGGTGGGTCTCGAGTGGCTCAAAAGAGCGCGCACACTCTGAGCCCAGGTATTCAACATGGGAAGCATCGGACACAGAACGCTGCTGACTTTTCAGCTGTTTCAGTTTGAGTGGACAAACAAGCTTTCGGTGGAGTGGAGATGTAATATCGGCGAATATCAATCGGTCGTCAAAAACAACCTGACAATCAGGCCAGGCGCACCGCATCGCACCGCAAAGCAGTGGGGCGAAGTTGGCAAGGCGAACACAACCACGACCATCAAAGCCACACTAATTAAACTGGCAACTGCCAATTGAGAGACGGAACTTTCAGCTAACTAAGAAGAACGCTCATTGCCAGGTCTGCCATCCGCGGGATGACCACGTTTCCAATCGAGCGCAAGCGCTCGACTTCCACAGGTGTGTGGTTTTTCGACGACAGCCAAGTTGCCACTGGAGGGCGGTTTCTGAAATGAAAGCATCGATGAGCCTGCTCGTTCATCTGGTGCAAGGTGGGCAGCTGGGTGCCCTGAACAAAACAGAAGCACTACATACAGGTAGTCCTGGCAGGCCTGCTACAAGCTTGCCTGAAAAGGTTGACATCCAGCTTTCCATGCGTAGAGGAAAATTCTGCCCCGATTCACCTTTCACATTCTTTGAAGAAAAAACAGAACATCATAGAACATCCATGCAACAGTTACACCCTTTGCAGAAAGCAGTGAAATTCATCTTAGGCCGCAGCATGGTAGCCCGCGTTTTGCCCTCTAATGGCACACCACTTCACGGAGTACCCACGGATGCGGAATTCCTGCAAAGGACTTGTATCTATGCCTTAACATGTAGGCGCTAAATTTACAGCCAAATACAATGAAAAGCAAGGCAATTGAAGCGCTCACCTTCAAAACGTACTCGAGGACTGGGCGCAAGCTAGCTGCCAGGAGGTTCTTCACGTTCTCCAACAGGCACCATTGCCTGAGATTTGTCCGGGTCATGTGTGTAGCACGTTTTACTGCAATGAAACTCGCAACACCCAAGAACCAACTTGCAGTGCGCTTAACATGTGAAAGCTTCCAATTACATCAAAACACACATTGTCACACACATCAACGGCATTGAAAACCTCTTTGACCAGCATGGTTCTCTTGTCGGACATTCCCCGCTCCAATCCAGCGGAGGATACCCCCTTAGCTCAACTTAGCTCTTTAGTTTGAATGGCCTTTGAAACAAGGGCATCCTGCTTCGTGTTCACAAATTGTTGCAAACATCCTCTAAAGCAAGTAGCCTGACAGGGGAATCCCCCAATGAGTCCACTCGCTTTCGACTTGATGTCCGCCGAAGGTTCAAAACCCCGAACATCTTCATATATAGGTCCTGAGGGTAGCAGCCCCTCGGCCATCCGGCATTTCAGCACTTCACGGCAGTGCGGACTGGCTTCTACCTCGGCGAAACTTTGCAACACATTGGACTGACAAAATGAAAGTACATGCGCCACAAACATCCTGAGCGAACAACGTAGCAGATTGTCCGGGCAAACCTTGAAGCAATATACGAACAGGGCCACTCTTGATAATAGTTCAACTAGTAAGGCCCAGGAATACACCATGGATACACCTGGGCATTCTTGGGGCAAGGCCGTGCCAGCCCAAGATCCAGGCCACCAACGCCACTGAACATGGAAATGCAGCAAGGCAGCCTTGCCATGTCCTCTTCAAGACTGTGCGAAAAAGATAGAGAGAGAGAGAGAGAGAGAAAAAAAGGGTATAGCAAGAAAGAAACCACATGAAAGGAACAAACCAAAAGAACATTGAAAATGACCGTCAGGCCTCAGGGGAAGGATGATCTGGAAAAATCTTCTCAAAGTCAAGCGGTGACACTGCGTTTTCTGTGGGCGCACTCCATCCGGAAGGTAGGCCTGTCAAGAGTCAAGCTGGCAGTCGACTGGAAACAACCCCAATCAACTCGCAGTCAAGGTTTCAGCCTGAAAGAAATTCTGCTATTTCACAACGTAGGACTTTTCCGGGCTTTACCCGGGCAAGGCGACACTGGCAGGGATAGTGGTCCCAGTGATGGACTTGGGTCGCCACGTCCTCTCGCGTGAACCCAAAGCATCAAAGAGATTGCATGAGTCTGGCCTTGAGGGTCCTGGCACGCCCGCTTGCTTAAATGAGTTGTTGTGGCCCTCACTGTCGCTGTGAAGCATCCTTGGCAAAACTTGCCAGCTAAACCTCCAAAAGAATTCTAAGTACACAATCACTCAAAACATCTCAACATCTAAGATCATCTAAGGCATTGATGTGAAACCAAAGTTCGCAGTGCACCGAATGCATTTCGGATGATTGGTGTAGTCTGCAGCGCAACTTTCCGTTTTGGCTTTTGAACCCTCGGAGGAACCTGCGCGGTCAAGGGGCAAACGCGTTGACCAAATCCAACCAAAATACAATGACTAGTCAACCAGGGTCGCTTCCACTGTTCCATCTCATTTTTCCATCTTACTTGTTCCATCCGCGCTTGCTGCCAAGAAACCAAATTCATGTTGAGGGGCCCGCAGAAGGGCTCATCATGGCCCCAGGGATCATATGGGACAAACCGAATCAACCCTGATGATGATTGTTGGCTGCAGTGCATTGTCCCAAACTTCGGCGCTGCCACAGCCCAAATCAGCCAACCCCAGATACAAAACCCAACCCCGGATAGGAGGCAAAAGCTTTCAAAGCTGGGGACCCTTCAGATCCAAGTGGCTGTACTGACGGCACAGGCACTCGGTTCCCCGAGGCGTTGTCGAACCTTTCTCTTAGCTCTTTGATGATCCGACTCTGCTCAGCAAGTTCTGACCGGAGGGCATCTTCTCTTTGCCTAGCTGATGCGCGTTCACTCTCAATGACGGCATGTCTTTCGAGTGAAATCCGATCTAAATAAGCCCTTTGTTCATGACGTTGTTGGTTCTGATGGGCTTGGTTCATGTCACTTAATCGTTGATTGGCAATAGCCTCATGTTGTTCCCTAGGCTCCTCAATGGCCGCCCTGGCTTGGTGAGCTATACCGTCCCTGAATTGCCTAGCTTCATCCGCTACCTGCTGTCCGTGCTCGGCCAAAATGGCCTGATGCCTTAGTTCCGCAATCTGAGCTACCTGAGCTGATCGATCTTCGTTAACGAAGAGTGCTTGTTGATGAATCTGTCTCGCATCAACATTTTGAACGTTCAACACAGGCGAAAACTCGGCTTGAAAAGGCGACGGTGCATGGACAGTAGGCACCAGGTCCCCCTGGGCACTGAATGACGGAGGCTCAATTGGCCTACGAAGATCCAGCGGAACAACAGGGAGTTCAAGCGCAGGTGAGCTAGACATAGCAGGTGAAGTAGGAACATAGCCTGATCGGGAACTGTCACCACGGGAACCATCATCATCAGCCATGGCCTCTAAGTAGCGCACTACTTACGGTGGGTGAGACCAAAGCTAGTAACAAGCACGTACCGCACTTATGGCGATACGGCTGATAACCTGTAGTTACAGGCAAACGGCCGACACGAGTCAACAAACCGCACCTGTTTTCCTTGAGCCAAACGTAAGGTAAGTATGACATGTATTAGACACACTAGCGTGAAACAACAGAATGTCTGGCTAGGTAGCGGCGGGAGTGAAGTGGGACAATTGCGGCCCAAAAAAGTACGAGAGCGACCAGGCAAGCATGCTGAGCACGAAAGTTCCATTGTTTGAGCAGCAAAAGCTGTGGAAGAATAATTGCAAGTCATTGCAGCATGTGCCATTCTGTGAAGAAAACTTCCCGCGGACCACATGCTGTGGCTTGCTTTCAAGGATACAGGATACAGCAACACATTGACATGTTGGTTAGGAAGCTGCTTTTTTCGGCGGCTGGATGGCCTCAAAATGAAAGAAAAACACGGACACCAAATTCATGAACCTCGGCAAAAACAGAATGGGAGGTAAGGGCCCAATAAAAGCAATACTTCTGCCTGAAGCATCATCTGGACAGCAACTGGCTGCTCAGTCTGTACCTCTCTTTGGCCTGCCAAAGATTCTGTCATTCACACTCACACGCCAACAGCTGAGCACACAGCAAAGAAATCCGAGCGCCTGGGCCGCGTCAAGCTGCAACTTCACTCCCTGCCAGATCGGGTAAGCTTTGCTTGGCTTTATCAAGTTATATATTACCTGAGAAGGGAGGGGACGAAAGCCAACCTCCATAAGAAGACATCCAGGCGGTTATAGGTTGAATTCGACAGCGCACTGGAACTGCTGTCAGGCATGAGGAAATAAAAGGCAGAGGCGGAAAGGTTCACATTGAGGGACGATATGTATGACACGTTCTGTATACAGAAGGTTTCGATCAAGGCCCATTAACGGCTATAGGATAGAAGTGGAGCCCATGCATTTGGAAAAAAAGGAGTTGAGAGAAGACCAAACGCCTTTCCGTTAGAAACATAGGGGTTTGTCCACTTGCGTCGTCGCTTTCATGGGCAGGGTTGCATTTTTCCCCAAATAGTGCTCCGCACTAAGGGGTTCTTACGGTAAGAGTTAAGCGGGTTTAGATCAGGCGCGTGGCCCCGGCATTTTGCGTGGGTCCGCTCGCGCAAAAGTTACTTTTTGAATTCCTCATGTCCATTTCGACTGCGCAGGCTCGCATAAAGTGGGGGCCGCGCCTTTCGCGCTTCCGGGACAAAGCTCTCGCGCAGGCGCCGTGCTCGTTTTCGGACATGAAGTGCATTTTGCGTGGCAGGCGCAAGGAATTCGACACATTGGAGCCTCGAAAAGGTCATTTTACGTGGCAGGTGCAAGGAATCGGAGACTTTGCAAATTTCGTGGCAGGCACAGTGTTTTGTGGACGTTGCAAGAACGTTGGCAGGCGTGTGTCATTCGCAGGATTGCGTTTCACGTGGCAGGCGCAGGGAATCCGCACCATGGATGCGATATTTTGAGGTGAAACGGCTGAATTCGTGAGAGTGGTCGCATTTTTGGAATTTGAACTTGAGGATGCTTTTGCGTGGCCAGTGCAGCGTTTCGTATGACCTGCAGGCGTGATTTCGTGGCAGGCACAGCATTTCTGAAACGCATTTCAAAATTTGCGAAAGCCTCGTGCAATTTGCTCGTTTTGGATCTCCGATGTGCAGATTTCGTGGCAGGCGCAGCACTTTGTGAATCTCGATGCGCAGA